AGGCCCTCCGCCTTATAGGCTCCGCCTTGCTCTTAATCGCTGGCAGCTGGGCTTCGAGGCGCTGGCGGGCTTTCTACTGCGCAGATTTGGTCCTCGATCGACCTGGGTCGCGTAGTGCTTCAATGGTCCAGGCAGAGGAGGAGAATGAGGAAAGGCAGGGGGTGGAGGACTTGAAACGATAGCTCTGGGGCGCCCCAGCCCCGTTAGTGGGCGTAGCTCGGTGTCCTCACCCTGGCATGCACGGTGGTCGCACCTGGCCGTCGTGATTAACTTTCAGAGCCAGCGGCTTCTACCTATTGAAGTGCAAACTGCACCACCCTCTTGTTATCCCCCTCGCTCACGGGCCATCCGCATTATCGCCATTAACCTCGCTTCATCGTCCTTACCATCGCGGCCATCAGCATCACTATGTTAATCCGCCCTCCATTCCGCAAGCAGAATACCGTGCCGTGTGCCAGCATTCCGACACGCGGTCTCCATCTATCCATCTGAATCCTTTTCTCTTGCAAGTATCGCTTACCTCCCTGTGCTGCGCCGTCAGCATGCATCCTCGATGTTGTGGATTGCCCGCCAGGCGGCAGGGCCTTACACCACCCTGAGCCTCGGGAAGATCCCCTCTGACATGGCAGAGGGCGGGATCGACAGGCGGCCGCAAGCCTCCACTGCGCGGAGCAGCCGTAACTTTTCGCTCGACTCTCGCATGTTCGTGGCGCGTGCCTCGATCACCTCAGTCTTTGTGTGCTGCTGGTTTGGATCGCCGCGCAGTTTACCACCATCCTTGCACGAGGTTGGCACACGATACTATCATTTGCATCGGGCAGGCGTCGATCCCTCTCCCCCGACGTCGCATTCGTTCGTGACGTGGGCCCCCAAGGATCTCGACTCTTTCCCTGGGACCGAGCTTCATCCCGAACCGTGTTTGGCGGTCCGGGGTCCAGGAAACAGCTCCCAGATGCCAAACACGTGGGGAAGTGTATATTTGTTGTTGGGCGACGCCAAGATTTGCAGGGCAATCTAGATGTGCACAGGATCGCGTCGTGCCTAGGAGGAGGGACAGGGACGACGGTGCGCGACCTGGAGCGGGGATGCATCCTGCCCGGGCCAGTCTGGACCGCAGGCCCTGCTGCTCGAGCGCCAGCCACGGTTTCCGGACCTGGGAGGGAGAGGAAGTCGGAGGAGGACAGGCATAGGGGACAGGACAGGACAGGGAGGAGGAGGAGGAGGAGGAGTACGAGGAGGGGGAGGAGGAGGGAGGAGGGAGGGAGGGATTGAGGGAGGGAAGGAGGAGGAGGAGGAAGAGTAGGAGGAAGGAGGAGGAGGAGGAGGAGGAGGAGGAGGAGGAGGAGGAGGAGTAAGTAGGGAGGAGGAGGAGGAGGAGGAGGAGGAGGAGGAGGAGGAGATTCGTGGGATGCTCGTCAGCTGTGCGTGGTAGACAGAGACGGCGGCCGCGTGGGGCATACGGGGCTGCAGCGCGGGCTGCGGCTCCCTGTCGCTGGGGGGCCCAGGATTGCACCTTGGGCGGCGCGCGGTGTCGCTCGTTCGCGGCCGCGCCCCTACCCTGTCCGCGCCCTCCCCCTCGTGGGCGAGGAGCCAGAGGCACGTCTTGTGAGAGGGCGAGAGGGCGACCTGTGTGTGAAGTCCACTCGTATCATCACGATATCCATATCTACTGCTGCCGTCTCGGCTCAGGTACTGGAAACAAGTACAGCGCCGCCTGCCCGAGGCGCATGGGAAAAAGGGATCGTTGCCCTCGCCCTCACCTTCCTCTACCTACGGCAACCCTTGTAGGTTCGACTCTTCGATTGTCAACCTACATACACACGACCTGCCAACGGGCGCACCACGGGAATTTCTCGCCCCCCGAAAATCGACGAAGAAGGTGCACCAGCATTTCCCCAAACAGCGCTTGCATTCAGGAGTTGTTGCTGCTCTCCCGCAGGAGTCGGCTGGGTCCGGCGAGGATTTTCCGCGCTGCCGCCCGTTGCAGCCTCGTTGCCGCCTTGTGCGCTGGGTGGGTCCGGCAAGGTTTTGCCACATTGCCGCCTGTTGCCGCTCCGTTGCCGCCTCTAGCTTGCACCACGTATACTGCCCCACATAGCTTGCACCACACAGCGTGCACATCCACATTGCGATGATTGGGTGCCTGGGGTCCGCGCTGGCTACCATTCTTGTAGCAAGACTGTGCATATCCATTGTAGGATGAGGAGGAGGAGGAGGAGGAGGAGGAGGAGCAGGAGGAAAAGGAGAGGAGCAGGAGGAAAAGGAGGAAAAGGAGGAGGAGGAGGAGGAGGAGGAAGAGGAGGAGGGAGAGGAGGAGGAGGAGGGAGAGGAGGAGGGAGGAGGAGGAGGAGGAGAAGGAGGCTCGGAGGAGGAGGACGAGGAGGGAGCAGGGGAGCAGGAGGGAGGAGGAGGAGGAGGGAAACGGGGTGGGCCTGCTCCAGAACCAGGCGGCCACGGTGAGGACTGCGGCTCGGCAGCGGGGCCGTGCGGGCTGCCCGCGCGCGCAAGTGTGCGCCGCGGGTTGGGCGAGGGGATCCGGGGCGGGCCAGCCAAGACGGGATCGGGGCTCAAGAGACGGGGGTCAATGCAAACGGGGGTCAATCATTGCGCCGGGCCTTGCAGGATCCTGCAGGGCCACGGTCGCATTGACCCGGGTTTGGGTGCAGGATCCTGCAGGACCTTGCCGGATTTTTCGCATTGACCCGGGTTTGGTTGCAGGATTTTGCAGGATCTTGCAAGGCCTGGTGGAACCGGGTCTGGATTGACCCGGGTCAGAAGATCCCCGACGGGAGGGCGAGGGCGCAGATCAGGTGTAGCGTTAGTTCGAATTTCCGAAACGATGGTGTCCAGGGCGTCGGTGGTTGATTCTAGGCCTCCCAGATGGAGTCGGAGTAGGTGCGGTCGGAGGATCGCGCCGCATCGCCGATGCATCGGCGATGTGGCTCGATGTGGGGCCCGATTTGCTTCACGTCGACGTCGCCGATGCATCATCCACGTCGACGATGCATCGCGGTGCATCGCAGATGCATCGCCACTGCATCGTCGGTCTGGCGCGATCCCCCGACCCCATGTACTCCGACCCCATGTAGGAGACCTTAATTGATCCAGTGTGCAAAAGCGGTCTGAATCATCCAAATATGGAGCCAAGTCCCTAACCACTGTCTCGTACTCGAGAGTGGTGGTGAGCGGGACGAGGGTCCTGCGTGCACCCGCTGCGTCACCGGCCAGACACCATGCAGATTACGAAATTGCGACTGGGCCAGGCCTGTTTGGGTAGTATTTCATTGCGGAAGTAGACAGCAGTAATTGAACACCATCGCACCGGTCATGGCCAGGCCTAGTTTGGGGGGGCTAGTTCCAGGGGGCAACGCATCGAATTCCAATCGCACGTGCATGACTGATACGGGCCCGATAGCCCACCCCTCCCAAGGACCGTGCGTATTTGCGATCGCAGATACACTGCCGATCTACCAGCGATGTCCCCCACCACCTTGAGCCGGTCCCCTCCCAACATTGCCCCTCACAGAAGGTTTTATGGAGAAACCGCCCCCCTATCTGCAGCGCTACGGTTCAAGCAGTGGCGAAGCGTCCCGGCGTACCTATAGGCCCACCAAACAATGTTCTAAGAACATTTCGTGGTTTCTAGGAAATATTTTCAGAACGTTTCTGGCTGGGACTGCCTCGCTTTAGTACATCGGTTATATGTTCTAAAAACATTGGTTTTGTTCTTAAAACATTATTGGATTCTAAGAACACTTCGTCGTAGGCCTATAGGAATGCCGGAACGGTCGGTCCCTGCTCAAACGGGAGGTTCGTTGTCGTGTCGACGCAGCGGCGAGCGACCCCACCGTGGGCGTTTAAGATTGTACGCGGGCAGTGGCCCAGAATCGGCAGACATCGAACTACTTACGCTATCGGAAAACGTCGGTCAATCAAGGCTGAACGATCCGCGCGGTGTCAGAAGCCAATGTGCAAGTTGCCACGACAGGATCAAAGCGTACTTCATCTCCCTGATCCTCTCGTTCTTCCTTGCCTCTTCATTTCTTCTTGCCAGAAGTAGACGTGTCGAGACAGGCGCGCGATGCTGAAGTATCGGAGCGTGCGAGGAGCAGAGGGTACGGTCGAGCCTTGCTTCACGGCGAGCTGGAGAGTTCAGTTACCCTCATTAGCGATGTGTTCAATCCACTGTTCCTCCCGCCACCCTCCTCCTCCCTGCTCCATTCTCCTCCCTCAATCAATCCTCCCCGTCCTCCCCACCCTCCCCTCCGTCCGCCCTCCTACCTCCCTCCTCCGTCCTCCCTCATGCCTCCTCCCCCCTCTCTGCTGCAATCCATTATCCTCCTCCCATTCCTTTGCAACTCTCTGTCGCGCCCCGAGGCCAGTCGGAAGGTCGGGCCGGGAGTTTCGCCTGAGACGTCCTTACCAGTTCTGATCCTGAGCTTTAAACAATGACGCCAGTTTCACAGATGGAAGGCGGGTGGTTTTCAAAACGTGGCCCTCGCTTCAGCGCCGCGGACATTCTTTTGACACGCTTGCAAGAGCTTCGCAGATTGAGGGCGGGTCGCTTTGAATATGCGATTCTCGCCCGGGCGCCGCGCACATGTATTTTTCCCAACCATCCTGTGGTGTTGGGTCCTCGTTTTGAAGAGACAGCGCCCCGCGTTCCTTCCTCCTCCCGGGGGTGTTCGCATGCGGTTCCCCCACCCAGGGCAGCGTTTCGTGGCCCCATAGGGAGCTCCACCGAAGGCCCCAGTGGGGGTGTTCGCATGCGGTTCCCCCACCCAGGGCAGCGTTTCGTAGCCCCATAGGGAGCTCCACCGAAGGCCCCAGTGGGGGTGTTCGCATGCGGTTCCCCCACCCAGGGCAGCGTTTCGTGGCCCCATAGGGAGCTCCACCGAAGGCCCCAGTGGGGGTGTTCGCATGCGGTTCCCCCACCCAGGGCAGCGTTTCGTGGCCCCATAGGGAGCTCCACCGAAGGCCCCAGTGGGGGTGTTATGCGGGGCAGCGTTTCGTCCACCGAAGGCCCCAGTGGGGGTGTTCGCATGCGGTTCCCCCACCCAGGGCAGCGTTTCGTGGCCCCATAGGGAGCTCCACCGAAGGCCCCAGTGGGGGTGTTCGCATGCGGTTCCCCCACCCAGGGCAGCGTTTCGTAGCCCCATAGGGAGCTCCACCGAAGGCCCCAGTGGGGGTGTTCGCATGCGGTTCCCCCACCCAGGGCAGCGTTTCGTAGCCCCATAGGGAGCTCCACCGAAGGCCCCAGTGGGGGTGTTCGCATGCGGTTCCCCCACCCAGGGCAGCGTTTCGTGGCCCCATAGGGAGCTCCACCGAAGGCCCCAGTGGGGGTGTTCGCATGCGGTTCCCCCACCCAGGGCAGCGTTTCGTGGCCCCATAGGGAGCTCCACCGAAGGCCCCAGTGGGGGTGTTCGCATGCGGTTCCCCCACCCAGGGCAGCGTTTCGTGGCCCCATAGGGAGCTCCACCGAAGGCCCCAGTGGGGGTGTTCGCATGCGGTTCCCCCACCCAGGGCAGCGTTTCGTAGCCCCATAGGGAGCTCCACCGAAGGCCCCAGTGGGGGTGTTCGCATGCGGTTCCCCCACCCA